AATAAGGTGGGTTTTTTAATAAACATAGCAGGTAAATATATATGTAGCAACTATCTCCCCCACCCCACCACTACATACATTTACAACCAGCATCCCAACTAGAATATTCTATCAAACAATATCAAACTTGTTCCCTCATTGCACGATGAGCTATTGTGGAAAACTGGATATTCAATCCATATATAGTCACTTGTTGGGATGGGAAACTACAGAAATCAAATGAATAAATAAAGCTATAATTGCTCAGATAATGGCTGTGAAGAGAATACCCTATGTGGAAATAGTTCTTTTTATGATGGCCAAACTCATTTTAATAAAATGTAAACCAACCCCCCCCTCTCTTTATGAAAGAAGGATACATAACTCAAGAATAATGAATCTCTCAGATGGGCAAAACCAGAGAAGAATAGAGCATTTTACCTCAAACTTGTAAGCAAATCCTATTCCTTAGTGTTTGTGTATACTAGTCAATTATCAATGAACTAGGTGCTCAAAACCTAAATAACTCAGGGCAAGTTATGCCAACATATGAAAAATATCACCAATTGGAAGAGCAAAATCCCAAAACCAAACACATAACCATTCTGACAAAAATAAAATAAAATAATGAAATTAAAAAATATCTCCACAATCATCCTATTCTCAAGACCTGGAAAAATAACCAAGACTTCAATAATTTCCTGAAGCACATATGGGATCCACATGAATTTTGAGGACAGAGGGCAAAATGTCCAACAGAGTAAGTGCGCTTCTTGGGTTGTGTAACATGACATTGTTTAATTGACATGACTCATAAGTCCTGTTACACGGAATTGGACATGCAAGGACAACTGGACACAAGCTGTGCATCAAATCATTAGGCCCTATGACAGTGATGGCGAACCTTTTTAGCACCAAGGGCCCAAACCAGGATGTGTGCATGTGCGTGCACGCGCCGGAGCGCAAGAAACCAGAAAACCATCTGGTTTTCAAGTTTCTGGTGCTCCGGTGCACTTGTTGAAGAGCAGCTGGTGACAGTTCATGTGCCCAGAGAGGGCTCTGTGTGCCACCTCTGGCACATGTGCCATACGTTCACCATCACAGCCCTATGACATGAAATGGCTTTAAAGGTGATAACTAGCACCTTGAATTGAAAATGGAAGTCAGCTGCCAACCAGTGCAGTACACAAAGCAGAAGGGTCACATAGGCATAAAATGATACCTCCATGTCCTTGCTGCCACATTCTGGACCAGCTGTAGTTTTGGAATGGTCCTTAAAGGTAGCCCAATAAATAGCATGATAAAATAATCCAATCATGAAGTGGCTAAGGCCGTGTGGGCATGCCAGCTCAGCTCTGGCGCGCATGTGCACGCTGGCCAGCTGATTTTCGGGCTTACTGGGCCCACCAGAAGTAGGGCAACAGGCTATTTCCTGCCTCTGGAGGGCTCCAGATCCTCTCTATGCATCTGTAGAGGGTGAAAACAGCCTTTCCAACTCCCTCGGAGGCCCTCCGGAGACCTAAAAGGGCCCATTTCCCAACTCCCGGTGGGACAGGAAGTGACTTTTTTGCTGTCCCCGGCCTCCAGAGACTCCTACAGAGGGAATGGGAAAGGTTGTTTTCACCCTTTCCAGATGCATAGAGAGGATCTGGAGCCAGGTAAGAAAGAAAAATGGGCCTACCAGGCCATTGCGTGCCAGGAGCAGGGGGTGAAGGGGGGTTGCACGCGCATGTGCAGAGGGGGGCGCATAGAATTATGGTGTAGGCACGCGCACGCATGAACCTCCCCCACCCCCCTCTCCTGGCATGCAATGGCAAAAAGGTTAGCCATCACTGGTCTAGGGCATAAGTGACAGTCTCAAGGTCCTCCAGTAAAAGCTACAAACGTATTTGTGTGAAGGCCCCCTTTGCCACAGTTTTGGACCAGGAGCTGAAAATCCAAGAAAAAAGCCAGATTGTGCCCAAATTTCATATGAAGAGCTGCAACCCTACTGAGGATCAACAATAGGATCCCTCTAGATGCAGGAAGCCAAACAGACATAGCCGCTTTGTCGTGTAAGAATTGAATCTGAATCCTGTACATGTCTTCCTTTTCAGACATTTATAGCTTCCAGACATTGGCTTAGGACTCTGATGCATTGCTTGGCTGGCCAGGTGTCAAGATTGTTGGGAATCATTCACATATTAATGATATGTGATCTCAAATTGGTAGATGACTTCACTTAGCAGTTTTATGTAGATACTACACAGAAGGGGAGAAAAGTGTCAAGCTCTGCAGCACCTCGCAGCTGAGGGGCCATGGTGTGATCGCTCCCCACCTACCAATACAACTGAAGCCAGTCATAAAAAAAGGAGGAAAATTACTGTAAAATTGTGTCTTCCATCCCTAAACCCTAAGGCCAGTTCAAAAGGATTGAACAATTGACAATACTGGAAGCGACTGAGAGAATAAGAAGCATGAAAATAGATATATTACACCCATCCTAGCTTTGACCCAGGGCATTAACAAGAGAGACCAATGCTATCACTATACTAAATAATTCTTCTAGGGTCCTTTTGAGCTAGAGACCAATACCGTCTCCACCATGTTGCCAAGAAAGGGAAGGTTAGAGACTGGAAGATAAGATTCAAGTCTGTTTTCTTAAAGACAGAACATAGCTATCTCCTTCAAGGATGAGTTGATCACCTCCTCAAAGAAACTAACATCATCACATAAATTCAACCACAGGTCATCTCTCAGGTGGCTTTAGCCATCCAGGAGAGATCAGGATCTAACAAACAGGTGGGTGAAGAAAACAGGTGGATAAAGAACCCTAACAAAACTCAAACAAAAGAGGTGGCTAAAGAACCCTATCCAGTTTCTTAGGGATCACAGAACTAAAGTTGCTTCAAATAGCAGTAAAATCAGGGGTGGGTTCTAAATTTTTTTACTACTGGTTCTGTGGGCATGGCTTATTTTATGGGCGAGGCTTGATGGTCATGTGACAATTATTTAGGATTTAGCAGAGGTACTGGTCTACCAGGTTTTTAACTGCTTGCAGAGCTGCACCAATCTACCCATTTATTTTTTGCAGGCACTGATCTACTCATGTATTTTTGCAGGCACTGATCTACTCATATATTTTTGCAGGCACTGGTCTACTCATGTATTTTTGCAGGCACCGGTCTACTCATTTGTTTTCTTTTAACACTGATCAGCTGTAGGGCGGCCCTTTGAAGCCCCGGGGTAAGAGTTTAAACAGTTTTTTCCCTCTAGCCATCAGCTGGGACTCAGGAGGCAGCAATAGATTGGGGGTGGGGCCAAATAAAAGATAAGAATAACGCGGGGGTGGGGGTGGGTGTGGGCAGAACTGGTTCGGTGACATCATATCATCACCGCTACCGGCTCGGAAGAACCGGGCCAAACCGGGAGGAACCCACCACTGAGTAAAATGCCTTGTCCTGGGCACCTCAAGTGAATTATGTCCAATTGGAGCCCAACCGTTTGCAAATTGACCAAGTAACAAGACTATTCCCCACAGCAGGTCTGCAGATAGTCCTGCAGCCCTCCCCAGCAGTGACAATCTCCCTAAGCACGAATGCTGGATAAACACTTGGCCACTTTTATCACTATAATGTAATATCTAATACAGGCTCTTAATCATGCTTGATGATTTTTCATCTTTCTCCCATAGCACATCAGGCATCTCTTCTTGCACCTCATTTGATGGAACTCCTCAGAAAACCAAGGCACACCTAGCAGGAAAAGGGAAACCTCAAAAGGGCAATCTAGTCTGAGTCTCCAGCTGCATGTCCATCCTGAGTTGCAACTAGAGTCTCAGTTGAACTTCTAGCATAGATCCAGAAAAGGATCCCCCCCAACGTTTTTGTAATTTATACAAACATATACTCCGTCTTGTGCAATAAGTGAGAAACTATTTACACACCCTCTAACTTACATTTATCACAGAACGTAGGAATCTGGAAACAATATTATAAGCATTCCAGAAAGGAAAGCATTTTGTAGTCAGTTTTCAAAATCCCTCCCTTGCTTCCTATCTTAAGATTCTTAACAGAATACATAGGGAGAATGCTTGCTAAATAACATTTGTCTGGAACTTCTCTCTCATGGTTCTGCCTTTTGACCATCTGAAGAGTGCATTTTATTGATCTTATCAGCCCCATGTAATTTCATCTCAAGATCAAGGATCCAACGGAAATTTAAGTCCCAGTAATCCTCATTTGAAAATTAAGCAGAGGTCAAGTTCCTGATGCTAATCTAAACAGAGGGCAAAGATATTTGTTGGCAGAATTTTAGGGGAAGGCTGCTGAATGTAAACACACATCAGGCAAAATGTGAACAAATCCAAACCCTTGGATTCTCCCAACTCTTGCAAAATCACACATTTTGGGAAGAGGTCAATACCAGTTCTTTGCAGCAGGTGGCAGTATGGCTTACTCATATTAGCTCCGCCCAGAATATGATTGGAGAAAAGTGTATCCTAGTCACTAACATTACTAAACATTTTATTCATTTACTCATTAACATTTCACCTAGCATTGGCTATCAAGTCTTATCAAGTCCATATTCAGAACCGCATAGGTCAAAAAGGCATCTCATGATGGCTGACTTTGCATACAACATGCAAATCAGTCAGTGGAAAGTCAGTGGAAGGCTCAACCTTTGTCAGTTGTGTGAGAGAGAGAGGGAAAGAGAGAGAGAGAGAGGAAGGGAGCGAGGGAGAGAGAGATTGAGATTATTTGGTATCATTTTCTGTCCTCCAGATCATACACATCATGGATTTAAGAGACTAATCCATATAGGTACACAGAAAAGCCTAAAGTCCATATATATATATATAGCTCAGGATATTTATAAATGGGCTGTATGAACAAACTGACTGCCTCCAAGCTCTTTAGCTATATCATACAGTTAATTTCTGTCCTTCATATAAGAGCATGAGTTCTGAAACAGGAAGTACTGTATCCTATTATTACATTCCTGGGTCAATTAATCATGGTGGCTTTAGGCAAGTGTCTCACCTGTCTTTTAGCCAAGCCCAACCTTCAAAACTTTCCAGGAGTGATGGGTGTTGAAGTTGGGTATTTTTGAATGATGTCTGATTAGATGAGTTGGAGGCTAGAGTAACCTGCTCATATGCACAAGGTAAGCTGAAAGACATTAATACAGGAGGCTCTCATTCCATCACTTCCCAATGAATACCCTGAAAGAAGTCATTTACAAGTTGGAATTGCCAATGATCTGTTCCTTGAATTGAGTTACCTCATTCCTCTAATTGTAAAGGCCAGAGTTGGTTAGGAGAACGAGACCGGCTAACTTCAGATATGTCACCTTGAGCTCCTTACACAAAGAGAGGATTACCTGTATGATCAAAAGAAATATTAACATATATTTCATTGTGATGAATTTGGGCAAAAGTGGGCAGCCCCCGAGGCTGGGGCAAGATTTCCACAGACTAGAGGATGAGGCATTGGCTTGCATGAACCCAACTTTGAAGTCAACCGTTGCTGGATTCCTTATGCCTAGTGTTGTTATTAAGTAGAGCCCTTAGTGCTCTGTGAGTTTGTTCATTTGCACTTCTATTGGTTATTAAGATTGTGAATGCATGTTCTTTTAGAGTCTGAGACAATACTAATGCTTTGTGCTTATACGTGTCTGGCATGCCAACTTTACCATTGAGGAAAACATTGGTACTGCCCTTTTTCAGATCGCTGTCACTAGTTACACAGTGAAGGGGTTGCATGATTGCTATTCAAATCTATTCCACATGACCTTTATCTGCATCTCTCAATTTCTTCTGGCATGATGTTGCCTAATTAGATGCCCACCCCCCACCCCAGAGAATAAGCTATGGAACAGGGCTGCCATCTAGTGGCCAGGTGTGTTCATCACCAGAAACTAACCACATACAGATATATTTGGAGGGGGTGGGGAAGTGCCTGGAGGAAAAAAAGCATTTTTTAGGTTACCACTCACAAGATGAAGTCTCTCTTCCTGCTGCTGGAAAGCTCTTAAGCTCATAAATGTACATTGGTTTCAAAAACTAAAGCACGGAGATATAGCTAGCCTGAAATATAATTTAAAAATTAGATTTTTAGATCTAGAACTGGAGAGCCAGTTTGGTCTAGTGCAGAGCTGAGTATTTGATGGCTCCTGGGCCACATCTGGCCCTTTGGCTGTCCTTGTCCAACCCACCCATCCATTGAGGTGAACTGGAACTTAGAAAACAACTTGCAGAAGGGCAAGAAGAGAAATTACTTTTCTGTGCCACTTGCCCCTTGGCTGGTGAAGCCTGAGGAGATGATGGAGATGGCAGCCATCATGTAAAGTGACCTGGGGTTAGCCACCAACCACCACCTTTTTGAAGTGCAGCCTTGAGGGCGAGTGAGTGGAACGCAGCCAGCAGCTATTGGTTCAGCCCTCCACAACAGTTCCCATTCCTCGTGTGGCCCTTGGGAACATTAATTGCCCAGCCCTGGTTAACCACCTCTAATGGTTAAGGCACCAAGCTAGAAATCAGGAAACTGTTCTAGTTCTGTCTTAGACGTGAAAGTCATCCAGATAACTTTGGGTGACTCACTTTTTCTCATCCAACCCTTTCTCACAGGGTTACTGTGGCATTGAAAACATGAGAAGAGGAAGGAATATGACTGCTGACTCTGAAAATCAAACATGAAGGATGAAAAAAAAAACTTTTTAAAAGGCATAATATAATATAAATCTATAGTATAAATCAGTTTGCCACCAACAAAAAAACCCACCAAAAGAATTACAGACTATTGCAACTGCAACCATCAGTTGAAGTCACATTTCCCAGCCAGGATGGAAACAAAGTTAAAAAACAGATAAATGAAGACTTTGTCTTTCCAGGTATATCTCTTTTTAAAAAAATCATCAACAATGCAATCATATATCGTAGAGTTTAAATTCAGGGAAACCTAAATAATGGTGCTAATTTTAATCATACATACATAAATAAAATACTTGGAATCCATGTGGTGCTTTCCCTACATTATTCTCTACACTTAAAAGTTGATAGTAACTATATTAGTATCAATTTCTTCCTGCTGTAATAACAAGCAGGAGAGTTTAGTTATATATGGCAAAATTTGAACAGTGAAGTTCCCATTTCTGCTTCCATCGTCTGGAAACAAGAGAAGAAACTCAGTTACTGCCGCATTAAGTTTTGGTTGTGACCTAATTTCATTTATTAAAATTCTTTTAAATTAAAAAAATGGAAAGTTAGCAGGCTGCAAAGCGAAGGCCAGTTTAACAGTAATCCTTCTTTCTAACAATACTTCTTGGTCCTACACAGACCCCTGTGGCATAGTTAGAAAATAAAGAAGTACATGTTGTCACATATAGTTTCATGTACTTTCTTCGGGGTATAAGCTTTCTATAACTGGCCACAGCTATTATGGCAATTACCCTGTTTCCCCCAAAATAAGACATCCCCTGATAATAAGCCCAATCGGGCTTTTGAGCGCATGGCAATAAGGCCAAGTGCTTATTTCAGGGTTCAAAAAAATATAAGACAGGGTTTTATTTTCGGGGAAACCTGGTATTTTAAGAAGGTACCTCTAAAACACCTCAAAATTCAAAGGTAGGAACTCTATTCTACATGATTTGGAAACAGCTTATTGGAGAGGTGGGAGACAGAAATTATCCCATTCAGGCCTGTTCTGAAAATACCGTTCTATCATCAACACATGAATCACATGGTTTTCTTGGAGATGGCTCCTAGGTTCTGAGCTTCCTTGCCATGACAGACCTGGTTAGCTTTATCCTTACAGATCTACATCAGTCAATACAGGCATTTTAACTTTAATTTGGAAAGGATTTTGCCCCATATGCTGATCTCTAAATATGAGGCAATTGAGCATTTTTTTAAAAAAATCAAATTGCTTTTATACAGTTTTTATAACTTTTGTCTTATTAATAATAACTTTATTGTCATTGTATGTGTATACACAGTATACCCATACAACCCATACCCACACATACCCATACCCATATGTTATTGTTGTATGTTATAAATTATATTAAATTTATATTGTTAAAAGTTGCCTGCAACCCCATTTGGTGAAAAGATAGAATATAAATCTGACAAACAAACAAATTCTGAGCAATCCTTTCTTCTAGAGTTCTCTGAATTTCTTGCTAGCCCCCAACTAACAGTGAAAAAACTCAAAAGCCTGCAAAGAAGTCCACTTCAATATAATTTTTTTATATAATTCTAACCCCAATTCACTTTCTTGTATCTTTATAGAGGGTTTATAGCCTATAGCAATTTACTCACATTCTGTGTTTCCATCGGGTTCTTTTCAGTCTTCTTTTTCCATCCTTAACTTGATTTCTCCATTTAGCTCTACAGTATCAGATTTATCCTCCTGACTGAATCTTGGCAGACCCAGTACCAACTTCCAATTAGGCAAAGAACAAATACTGAAAACCAAGACCGGTAGCAGTCTTGAGGCTGAACTACCAGCTACGTTCCTATCAAGAACAGAAATGATAGACCTGGAAACTGCCTTTGCTCAATTAGCAGCCTGATGTGTGTGTTTGGGGAGGGGGCAGTACATCCTGAAGGACAGAAGGTACACATGGATTAAATTAAGTTACTCCCTAACTTTAAGTAACTCTCTAATTTAAGTTACTCCATAAGTACCTTCCCTGTCCTTCTAATTCCCTGTCCTTCCAATTATTGCAAACAAGAGCAAAATAGCTTAATTCTGAAGAGATTTGCCAGTATTACATTGAAGGACCTTGAGCAAAGTCAGTATTTCCTCAGGCGTTTATAAAAACAGAAATTGCCTCTTTGTGAAGTGATCACTACGAGAAAATGGCAAAAAACAGAAAGCAAAAACTGTGTTGTAAACTTCAGGGTTTGAGAGATGAGAGAATTCCAAAACAGTTTGGTCCACCATCCTTGCTTAACTATTCTGGCTGCCAATACTTCATGCCAGCAAAGTCTGGGCAAACAGAGGCAGCAATACAACTGCCTGACAGACAGGCAGTCTCGGCAGCAAAAGACACCTGCTGCGTTGTGGGGCTCAAGAGGGTCCAGTCCCTGCCAGTGTCAGAGAATGGGTTCATTATCCTAACTATCCCCACCTCTACTTGGCACTTCCAGATGCCACAGACAGAGGGATAAACAGACCCAGCTTGCAGCCTGGCACACATGGAGACAAGCCCTTCTTAGGAGTGGAAGTAGACAAAATCACAGTTGTTCTGGCTAGCAAATAAATGGGACCGAGAACCACACAATTCTCTCCCTTTCTCACTCATACACATAGCCACACAAGCATAAACAACATATGGTTTGAGTCAAAGGATATTGGTGAACTTGAATGATGCAATAAATTGGATCAGCATCTATGAGAATTACTATAATGCAGTGGATTCAAATATAATACAGGAATTTGCATCATATCAGACTCCCTATTTACATCAGATTTCTCAAGGTAATCTCTCTCCCCCCACCTACCCCAGTTGTTGGCTGTTATAATTTGCCAGACAGACTGGATATTGACTCTGTAGTCCAATATATTTCAAGAACATCAGCTGTGGAAGAGCTGGCCTTTAGGAAATAAATATTTGCACTGATGTCATTTACTCAACTCTGTTTTTCAACATCTAGAACAGGGGTGTCAAATTCACAACGACACATCGTCATGTGATGTATCACAACTTTCCCACCTCCCTTTGCTAAAACGGGTAGGCGTGGCCAGCATGTGACACATCCAGCCTGCAGGTCATGAGTTTGACACCTCCGATCTAGAAGAAACTTGCTAGAGGAAAGTATTCTGAACATTGCATTGATATGCAATCAACATGTGGATGATCCGCAAAATTGGCTCAGATTGTTCTCAAAAACTAGTTTAGAAGAAACATGGATGTAGAAGCAGGACCAATGAAGATATATCCTTGATGGACTTCCATCTGTGATCTGGGTTTCCTTTAAGCCTCAGTGATAATTGGAAATCTGCTCAGAAATCTGGGGTTGATGGCCAGAAGTATTTTTTATAAGCTTATGCTGCTATGTCAGATGTGACTTAAGAGCTGAGGTGGTGCAGTGGTTAGAGTGCAGTACTGCAGCTACTTCAGCTGACTGCTAGTTCAGCAGATCAGTGGATCAAATCTCACCGGCTCAAGGTTGACTCAGCCTTCCATCTTTCTGAGGTGGGTAAAATGAGGACCCAGATTGTTGGGGGCAATATGCTATTTAGTATACTGTCTTTGGTGTAAGCCGTCCAGAGTCCTCGGAGAGTGGGCGGCATAGAAATATGACTAATAAAAAAAATTGTCACAGAACTGAACATGTTCCAGTTATTCATAGTAAAATCCAAGCTGGGTTATTG